CCAATACTTTGGCCACCTAATGCGAAAAGCTGGCTCATTTGAAAAGACCCTGATGCTGGGAAAGATTGAAGGCAGGAGGAGAAGGGGACGACAGAGGATGAGATGGTTGGATGGCATCACTGACTCAATGGACATGAGTTTGAGCAGACTCGGGGAGATGGTAAAGGGCAGGGAAGCCTGGTGTGCTGCAGTCCATGAGGTCACAAAGAGGTCTAAGTCATGTCACAAAGGACACGGATGAGTGACTGAACAACAAAAATTTATTTCAACAATTACTTGATCTCATTAAGACTTCCAGTCTGTTGTCTTCTATTTTTGGCTCTTCCTCACCTCCCTCTTGTTAATCACGTGCCTCCCCAGCATATATGGCATATTTTGAGTCTCTTCTCTCTGTCCTCTGTTCCTTTGTTGCCTAATGAAATCCCATTTCCCAGCTCAACCAGCTTTTTACTCCATACCTTCACCCAAGCAGCTAAAGATTGCTGGAGAAAATTCACAGACCTGTGATGACTATACTTTCCTCAAATTCACAGCCACATTGTAACATGGGCACTAAATTCTGCTTGTCATTTCTATAGTTCCTTAGTATTCTTTTCTTGGTCTCCATAATGTCTTAAATCTATATTTCTCCTTCCACATATAATCTGGGCTCACAACTTAGCTGTAGATCTTCCAGAGGAAATAGATGCAATCAGATGAAAGCTGTGCCTTCACCTTTGTTATGGAGGAAATGTCCTTGTTCTTATTTAAGGCCAGTCCCTTCATTCATTCATATCCAGGATCTCATCTACATCTTCTAAAGACTGTCTTGACATTATACTGTTTCTCTTATACATCTTTTCTAAATCACTCTGTTGTTTTCTAAATATTACCCATTTTAAAGAACCTTATTATTACCTTGTGTTTCCCTATAGCTGTTGCCTCTTTTGTTTGCTCCCCTCCCAGAAAAACCCTTTAGAAGAGTCGTTTTGCTCATTCTCTCTTTTTTCTTACCATTTCCCATCCTCTTGTCTGCACTCTCAAAGTGGGCTTTTACCCCCACGACTCCACTAAAATGATCTTTATCAAGTTTACAGTAACGATATTTCATAAAATCCACCACTCCCTCCTTAACATTTAAAGCTCTATAAACTTTTTTCTATAAACTAGTCTTGTCTGGTTTTTTCTTCCTGCTAAACCAACCATTCATCCTAGGGTTTTTTGGTTTTGATTTTGCTTTCCTCATCAGAACTGTAACTGTTGGAGTATTCCCAGAACACTATCCTTAGCTGTCTTTTATTCTAAAGCGCTCTCTCTAAGGGATCTCATGTGTTCCCATAACCTCACATACTGATGGTCTATCAAATTCATATCCTTGCCTGGATCTCTTCCCTAAGCTTTAAACTTACATATTTAAATGCCTGCTTGAAATGTCCATTTGGTGGCTGATTTTTAGCCGCCACCCCCCACCCCGGTAACCTTGCACCATATCAGCAAGTGGTATCACCATCCACCGTTTTTTGGTTCAAGCCAAAACTATATCTCACTTGATTTGTTTGTTTGTTTACACCTCATATTCAGTCCGTCAATAGGTCTAGTCTACTCTACCTCCAAAATATATCCTGAATCCAGTCACTTATCAACATCTTCATAACTATAACTCTTATAGTCTTCCAGCTTTCACTTGGGCCACTACAGTTGATTCCTAATGTCTCTTCCTTCACTCTCACCCCACTGCAGACCTTCTTTCATGAACAAAGCTGCCAGCGTTATCTTTCTGAAGCATAAATCATACATTACCCTTCTGCCTAGAACTTACTGTGATTTCCCGTTACACTTAATCCAGGCTTCTCACTATGACGTCTTCACCTAGCCCCTCTTTCACTCTACTGCTTTAGCCATACTGATATTTTCTCCCTGTGTCCCTCATGCTAGGCTCGTTTTCATCTCCAAGCCTTTGCACTTAAGCTCCTTCAGGGCAAGTGTTGTCTTGCCTTAATTATCACTGTATCCTCAGCTTCTTCAGCAGTATGTGGCACTTAGCTTGATTCTCAGTAAATATTTGGAGCTCATCTCTTGAATCAACTGAAGAGGGAAAGAAAGACTGGTTAAGTAAGATTTCACTGTTAACCAAAGACGGGGAGAAGAGTGTGTGTGCAAAGGTCCGGATGTGAGGAAGGCCATGGTAAGTTAGTGAACCTTAAAAGTTCAGAATGATCTGCATGACTAGAACATAGTGTTGGGGGGGGGGGAAACAAAACTGAGACTGGAGAGTTTTTACCTGGCCTAAAATCATGTTTAGAAGTTGGGACTTTGATTTCAAAACCATTAGGAAGTTATTGAATAATTTTAAGCAGAAGATATTTGATAAAGATTTGTATTTGAAAAAGATAATTCACTGCAATGTAGTGCATAATTTAACGAAGAACCAAAGTACCCTGTGAGAACTGTTAGAAAGTTATTACAGTAGCCCAAACCAAAAGTTAACATTTGGTTAACATTTGGCATTGGGGGGGGGGGGGGGGACTGTTGATGGATTCAAGAGAGAGATGGGAAGTAGCAATGTATCTAATATGAGCAGGTAAATGAGAAATCAGAATGAGTCCCAGATTTCTGTCTTCAAAAAAAAAAACAAAAAACACTGGGTGGACACTTACCCCTTGGCTGAAATACAGAATGTAGGAAAGAAGCAGCAGCTTTCATTTGGGATGGGAGAAGCAGCAGATGATCTACTTAGTATAAGAATGTTTTTATCACATGGACCCCCTCTGATCCATTGTGCCAGTTCCTTTAAAGTGTGTTTTTTATTTCATGGTCTTATTTGTTCCTAGATCTGAAGTGTTATTTGTATCCGTCTGATAATCTTGTTCTGAAGACAGATGTATATTGAGCTTTTTAGCATCTCAGAGTTTCTTACATCTGTTTGCTATCACATGCATTAATTGCTAGTGTAATTCTAGGATTGTGTAAGATATATTGGTACATTGAGTGCTGAAAATTATTGGTTAAGTAAGAATTGTGCCTCTGTCACCTTTTTTTATGAGTATGTTTTGAATAAAAGTAATAATGTTCATCTTATTTCCTAAAATAGCAGCCTCAACTCCCAAATCTTTTTTCCACTTGAAATGCTTAACATCAACTAACTTTGAACATCTCAGTTCCAAATTTCCAGAAGTGGTCTAATTGATTAACTCTCTCAGATATTCATTCCTGATCCAGTAAGCTAAGGCCAGAGGGACAGGCAGGATCTTATATGCTTCAGAGCCACCCCTTCCAGGCTTTGGAAATGATTGTTTCTCCAAAATGGAGGAGTAAAAAAAATTTTTTAATTGTAATCATACTGCTTTGTGCACCTAATATATCTTGAGTTTCTTTTAATGAATATTCAGAATTAGTTTTAATGGTAAATATTCATTCAGTTGCTGCTGCCGCCAAGTCATTTCAGTCATGTGCGACTCTGTGCGACCCCACAGACGGCAGCCCACCAGGCTCCTCTATCCCTGGGATTCTCCAGGCATGAACACTGGAGTGGGTTGCCGTTTCTTTCTCCAGTGCATGCATGCATGCTGAGTCGCTGCAGTCATGTCCGACTGTGTGCGACCCTATGGATAGCAGCCCACCAGGCTCCTCTGTCCACAGGATTCTCTAGGCAAGAGTGCTGGAGTGGGTTGCCATTTCCTTCTCCATTTCAGTCAGTAATTCAGTTCAATTAAAAAATGACTAGTTGCTGATTGAGTCTAAAACAAAGATGCTATAAGCTTCAGAGTTGTCTGTATTATGGAAAAGTATCTACCATTTCAATGGTTCCAATGAAGTATTGGGGCAGGTAAAGAGTACACACTAATTTTAAGTCCATATGAAATAATCCTGTAAAGTCAAAATTCTTACTGATTGGCTAAACTTTTTTTTATGAGAACTTCCTTAACTTGTTAAGGTGAAAGTTTTTGCTCTGGTAAAATGTTAGAAGGGAAGGAGGTGCCTTGCTTTTCTCCCCACTCTTACCTGTATTAAAAATTATAATGAAATTTCAGGTAACCAGAATAAAATTATACCTATACTGTTTATTCTGGCTAACACTAGAATAAGGAGAAAATATATAATAGATGCTAATTGTCCAGTAGTGATGAATGGGTGCTCCACTGGGCTGTCCTCCAGTCCATGTAAGTGTAAGGAGATCTGCTACTAGAACTCAGAACTAGCACTGACTGAATGGTCGGAACATCATGCTTCATTGTTTGGACGTATGAAGCAGTGGCATTAGCACTAGGAGGCTCTAATCTAGAAACTGAGAATGAACAGAAACAAATGAAGGTTTAATTTTTTTCTTCTCTCCCTGGTTGAATGTTTTAAACATAATATGTTGTCATATACTTGTATGGTACATGAAATGTTTATTACATATTTTAGAATATGCACAAGGCTCATTTGATTGTTAATGTAAAAACACTCATGATATACAATGTAGTAACGGAAAATCTCAATAATTGGCCTAATCATTTCTATCCTAATTCTTACTTTATTTACCCTAAACAATACTTTATTCCTAGTAATTGGTCATGTGACATAACCTATGAATATGGCTATTTTTTTGTCTCCATCCTTAACCACGGTGCTTCTAATGATTGGTCAAGTTTCAGAACCATTACTGTAGGCCAGTGGTTCTCAACTGAGGGCAGTTTTGTTCTCCAGGGGACATTTAACAGTGTCACTTCTGGTTGTCACAGCTGGGGAGGGTGGAGTTGCTACTGGGATCTGGTAGGTAGAGGTCAAGGATATTGCAAAATATTATACAGTACACAGGGCAGCCATCTCCCCCATCCAAACAAAAATCCCACCCAAAGTGCCAATAGTGCTGAGATAGGGAAGCCCTGATCTAGATGTAGCAAGGGGAGATTTTATGTCCCAATCAAGTTATGTCTGGGGTTAAGATACATTACTCTTTGAATAGTACATGTCACTATAGTGCAGAGATTTCAGTTTATAAGAGGATTTCCCAGTGATGTTCTGTTCTGCTTCCTCAGATCCTGCCAGTTTTACTGAGATAACTAAAGACTGTGATGAAAATAAAGAGAACAAAACTCCGGAAGGATCTCAAGGAGAGGTTGATTGGCTCCAGCAGTATGATATGGAGCGTGAGAGGGAGGAACAGGAGCTTCAGCAGGCATTGGCTCAGAGCCTCCAGGAGCAAGTAAGAGATATCTCCATATCTGTCTTTTCCGAGAGATAGAGCAATAGTAATAGTAAAAAACATTTGTTAAGCACTTTGTGTCAGGCATTGTTCCACATGATTTATGTACAGTAAATTGTTGAGCCACCTAAACAAACTAAACTTGCTTTGGGCCTTTTCCTTAGGTTTGAAACAAATACTGATTTTTTTTTTTTTTTAATACAAGTGCAACAAAATGTCTTGTTGGTTACCTCCTGTTCCCATGATTTGTTGCATGCTAAAGCAAGATGTATTATTGGAGATCATCCCCAGTCCAGATTTATTTTGTAAGCAGTTAAAACAGCCAATATGCAATCATGATTTTATCATTGATATTTTAAGGCAAAGAATATCGGGTCATAATTTTAACTATTTTATCTGGGGAGCTTTAAAAAGAGTACTGATGCCCAGATGGTTCTGCCTCTCAGAAATTCTGGTATAATTGATCTCAGATCTGGTCTGGGCGACTAGATTTCTTTCTTCTTTTTTTTTCTCCTAAACTTCCACCAATGATTCTAATGTGCAGGCAGTGTTGAGACCTGCTGCTTTAAAACTGTTTCAGAACCAGCTGTTCTGTATCCTTTTATTTATAAAAAGTACCTCCCTAGTTGCCTTGTCATCAAAAATATATATATGTCAAACTGTTTTACAAATTATTTATAGTAATCATTTGTTTCAGAAAAACTTGCTTTCAGTGGAAAATAAGTTTTATTTCTTAGCAATAGTTCAGGCGTGCTCAGGCATGCCCAACTCTGCAACCCTGTGGACAGTAGCCCCCCAGGCTCCTCTGTCCATAGGATTCCCCAGACAAGGATACTGGAGTGGGTTGCCCTTTGCAGAAAAAGAAAAAATTCAGAGAAAAGAAGGGAAAAAAAAGAAAAAATTTCAACAACCCTCCTTTTCACAGACAAAGACTTATTTTTCTTGTCAGCTGACCTGGTTAAAATTGTCTTATTTTTCTCAGATGTGAGGATTATGAGATGAAGGTTTCTTTAGTTTGGCACACCTTCTTGTTTAGTCGCTAAGTTGTGGACACAACTTTTTGTGACCCCTGGACTGTAGCTCCCCAGGCTCCTCTGTCCATGGGATTTCCCAGGCTAAAACACTGGAATGGGTTGCCATTTCCTTCTCCAGGAGATCGTCCCAACCCAGAGGTTGAACCTATGTCTCCTGTGTTGGCAGGCAGATTCTTTACTGCTGAGCCACCAGGGAAGCCCTGCATCGTTCTATGAATTACTGAGAGAGTCCTTTACCATCTTGTCTCAATGTAAACTTTATATACTTGGATAAATTTAAGTAATCATGTTTCCTCTTAGAGAACACCTCTGTGACTTTCTTGAACACAGTATTATTGTTCCCAGGACTATAATGCAGAATAGTTCATTCTAAGCTTCTTATATATTAACTCTAAAAACAAGTCTAGAATTGAGAAAAGTATAAAAAGTTTTATATTTTTTTCATTACTCATGCATCCTTTGTAAATTATCTTTTCTCTCAAGATGAAAGGGAAAATTTGTAGTCAACATTTTCCTATTCCTTTTTATAATTAGTCATCTAGTTGAGACATTTTCAGAGGTACTTTTTTTTTCTCTTTAAAGAAAACCTCAGGGACTTCCTTGACGGTCTAGTGGTTAAGACTCTCTGCTTCCAAGGCAGGGGGAGCAGGTTCAATCCCTGTTTGGAAAACTAAGATCCCACATGCTGTGGGTCATGGCCAAAACAAACAAAAAACACTATGATAAAGAAAACCTCAGATATATTAGAAAAGCATAGAAATCTCTGAATAGTATTTTGTGGAAATTTTGTTTTATCTTGTTGTCATAGATGTAGGCTCAGTGATGTGGTAGAGCCAGCTCCCTGTCAGCTTAGGAGAACCCATTGTACATAGCTGTTCCCAAATCTGCAGTCAGAGTTACATTGGTAGCTTAAAACTGGCCATAGTAGGAAGACAGTTTTGGAAAAAGTAAAGAACTCCATCTCTCTGAAGAGGTCATATTCGAAACATTCATACATTTATAGAGAGCATTATTAGCAAATACGTTCAGAGCAACTGGTTTTATCCTTATTAAGTAAGTTTAATCAATACTTCTTTAAATACTTTAGTTTTGTCCTTGTTCCTTTAGGAGGCTTGGGAACAGAAAGAAGATGATGACCTCAAAAGAGCTACGGAGTTAAGTCTTCAAGGTATGGAGATTACTTTAATTACATTTTTTTGTATGATGAAATGTATCACACACAGAGGAGTATATAAAATGTTTTTGTCATTTTTAATAACAATAACAAATTTGAACACCTCCCAGGTAAAGAAATAGAACCTTAGAAGTTACTTGTATATCCCTTCCCTACCCTCCCTCCCAGAGGAAACCAAACACTCAAACATAATTTTCTCATCTCTTCAGTTTTTCTCTCTTTTTTTTTAATTTTTCTCTACTGTCTGAAAAGTTTCTCCAACATTATCACCAACTTCAAACTTTTTTTAGTATTTTATGTCTATTTCTAATTTGCAAGAACTGGTTTGTGATTGCTACTTTTCATAAAATTTTGGGGTGGGGTAGTTCATGAAAGCAATACCATCTCAACTCTGAGAATATTAAACATACTTCATTTTTTGTGTGTGTTTGACATTTTCATCTCCCTGAGTAGATTCTCTTTTCTCCATTTTGCTCTGTCTTGTGTGTTATTTTGGTCTTTATATTCCGTGTTAGAGCCTTTCCTCAGTTATCTAGTAATCCTCAGTATCTGGTAATCCTTGGCTGTCAATTCATGATTAAGAGTAGGGGACTAAAGACTTCCTGGTGGTCCAGTGGTTAAGAATCTGCCTGCCAATACAGGGGACACAGGTTCAATCCCAGGTCCAGGGACATCCCACTTGCTGTGGAGCAACTAAGCCTGTGCGCCACACCTACTGAGTCCACACTATAGCCTGAGAGCCGTGAACAAGAGAAGCCACTGCAATGAGAAGCCCATGCACCACAACAAAGAGTAGCCTCAGCTCACCGCAACTAGAGAAAGCCCACGCACAGCAGTGAAGACTCAGCACAGCCAAAAAATAAATAAATAACTTTTTTACTTAAAAAAAAAAAAAGAGTAGGGGACTAAAAAGATTATTGGAAGCTCTGAGTATATGAATAGCTAGAGCTTGTCAACTTTGAGTTTTATAGGATTTTACTATTTAGGGGATGGTATTAATATTTTAGGCCTCCCCTTGGGCTGGTAAGATTCCTAAAGAAAAGTGTTCTAGTTTTATGCCTTTGCCTAAAGATAAAAAGATGTGGCTGCCAGAGTTCTGGAAGCCAAGTATAGGAATAGGGCCTGTTGGGGGTCAGGGTGGAAGTTACTCACATCTTTGAATATGTACACCGTGGTCTCCTCCCATTTTCGCTATGGTAGTCCTTTGTGCCTGGAATCCCCCAGTGCAGAGACTGTTTTACCAGCTCTCCAGAGAGCAAAGCTCCAGACTTCTGTCATTGCCCAGCAGCATAAAGTAGCAGGGAGTGGCTCTAAGAGTCTGTAACTCAAACAGCTTTTCCCTAATCCTTATTTTTATCCTATTCTTAGCCTCCAATTTCAGAGGTACCTGGTATTTCCAAGTTGTATCTTTTGAAGACCCTGTGATATAAATTGGATTGATTCTCAACTTTTCCAATACCAACTTAGGTTTTGGCTTTGACTATCTTAGGTCTGCTAAGTCTTGTCACCCCTGTATATTCCAGCTTCCAGAATTTTGATGCTATAATCTCTTCCTGTTCTTCCCATTTTTAAGTGTTCATAACTTTTAAACAAGCATAAAACAAGGCTTCGTTTCTGTACAAACGCTCCTGGGATTTTTTATTTGAAGCCATTGAGTAAAGATGGATTCTTCCAGTGAAAGCACATCATTAAGGAGGGAAAAAAAAATGGATCTTGGATTTATTTATCTATTTAGTGTGTTTTAGGTAAAACTTAGTTAAATTTTGAATTTCCATTATTTTTGTTCAGTTCCAAAGTATGATTTAATATTGAAGAAAATGAAAGGATATTGATCTTTTTATGGTCTCTTTTCTATGAGATACTTTATGTTTGCTGGTGGCACTTATAATATGCACCAGATGTGTCAAATCTAACATATACTTACGGGTATTCAGTGAAACTGAATTATCTAACATATATTTTTTATTATATGTTAGAACAAATTATATTCTAGACAAATAATTTATATGTCTAACAAATTATACTCTCTTTTTCAGTTTCATTCCTTTCTTAAGAGTATTATCCCCTTTGATATACATATGTTTAAAACAAATGGGAACATTTCTTTTACAGATAACTGGTCCCTAGAGTAGGCTGGGTGAGTTGAAACCCTAATAATAGTATGTCTTTTGTTTCTTAGGATGATAAAATGTGTACTTCCAGCTGTTTTTCATCTTCCCAACTGTGTCTCTTTGTGTCTATTCTGAGAGCTTTTACAAGACTTTGTCTTTGTGTTCTTCAGAGTTTAACAGCTCTTTTCTGGATTCATTGGGCTCTGATGAGGACTCTGGAAATGAAGATGTTTTAGATATGGAGTACACAGAAGCTGAAACTGAGGAACTGAAAAGAAATGCTGAGGTGGGTGACATTATATTCCTTTTGTAAAACAACTGGTCATGTTGTCAGTACTCCTCCTCTTGCTCCTTATCTTCAAAGGACATGGTCATTGTCCATTGCAGGTTCATTTCTGCCCCTTTGGCAACCGTCAAAAGGCCCTCGCTTTCTCTTGAGCTTTACTTCTCATTACTTACACAGAATATTCAAAACAAAATGAAAGAGAAAAACAGAAATACATCCTTGACAGCCTTATGTACATGTTAGGTAATAACTAGTAATAGCTCTCAAAGTTACATATATGTTAAATCACCTTCAGTTTTACCAAAACTATTTTATCTTTTAAGGTTAAATACTAAAATTAGTTGATTGTTACTCAATGAAAACTGTTGAATTATTAACATTTAACTAGAGCACTTGGAATCTTTTTTTAACCCTTTTTTGCCCTACATAATTGCTTTTTTTCCCATTTTCCAATTTTTTTTTATAATTTTAATTACCCAGATCCCACTGTTCTAACTACTGTTTATTTTATTTAATTTTTAGCTAACATTGAGCATTTAAATTTTCTTTTTTCATTATAATATCAAGGAACTGTATATGATTATAATGTTTCTATATTTAAGATTTTCTTCTTTAAGGAAATCCTCAGAAATAAATTACTGCATCAAAGTATTTGAACATTTTAATTGTTTCTGGCTTACCTATAGCTATATTTCTTCCCAATTTCTTCCCAAAATTATGTTCTTTAGTAATGCCTGAAGTGCATGAATATCACTTTTCAGTTTTCTTTTCCTTAAAATATTTAAAATGTAAAAGTTCATCCATAATCCCTACATCAATATAGCAACTCTTTTCATTATTTTCATTCTGTTTTTTAGTGCTTAACCATTAACATTATCTTTTCATATAGATCTATAGTTATATTGTGTGTGCTCATGTAGGTTTTAAAAACAAATTAACATTTTGCAGAACCATGGTTCCCCCCGCCCCTTAAATAACTGAATAATATTGAACTGAGTTGAAATACCTGTAACCTTTAACTATTACTGGGTGTATTTTTAGTTCCAACTATTCATTATTAAAGATAATACTACAGTGAATAGTTTTATACATATATACGTTTTCTTCTTTTGAATTATTTTCTTAGAATAAATTCTTAGTTGGGAGTAGAATTCTTGGGTCAAAGGACATGAACAGTACCAACCACTGAGTTTTTTATTGAGTCTAACCCTCCACACATTGAAACTTCCCCATGTCAGCTCTGATAATAAATTTAGTGTTTTGCTTTTATACAAATTAAGAGTTAAAAGTCATGCCCACTTCTGTTTTCCAGACAGGAAATCTTCCTCATTCCTATCGGCTCATCAGTGTTGTCAGTCACATTGGTAGCACGTCTTCTTCAGGTAAATGGACTTTAGGATTTCAGCATTTTATAAATGGACCAGTCAGCATTTACTCCTTATTGAGTTGCTCTGAGCCTAGCTTTGTGAGGTGTGAGTTGAATGCATCACGGAAAACTTTGAACCCTGGGGGCCCCTTCTCAGAGCCTTAGCCAAGAGGCAGACTGCTGAGGAGGAAAGAACGCCAGCTATGAGATTGGGCCCAAGTCCACATAAGTGACCCCAGCCCAGGGTCATCCTGGGGTGCCATGAGGCACCAGAGCAAAGGTGTGTCACTTGCAGGAGGTGCTCAATAAATGAATCTTGGGAGAAAAAAGAAAAACTTTGAAATCTTTTCTTTTATCACACTGTGTGTGTTAATAGGTGCAGCTGTTCCGATTTTTCTATTCACAAATGACCCAGATTTCCCTAAGCAAAATACATGTATCAAAAAAGTTGTCCTGGCATAGCATATTCACCCTTTGCTGTTTAGTCGCTCAGTCGTGTCCTACTCTTTGCAACCCCGTGGACTGTAGCCCGTCAGACCTCTGTCCATAGGATACTCCAGGAAAAAATACTGGAATGGGTTGCTATTTCCTTCTCCAGTATTCCCCCCTTAAATTTTTGTAGTTTTTAAATGGGTTTTAGAAATATTGTTGGAAGTAAGGTGAAATGGGGTTAACTGTTTCTGACATTTCCTATACCTGAGAAAAATTCAGTATTTTATTTTTTAAAAATTTAACTTTTATTTCTTTCAGGTCACTACATTAGTGATGTGTACGACATTAAGAAGCAGGCATGGTTTACATATAATGACCTAGAGGTATCTAAAATCCAAGAGGCTTCTGTGCAGAGCGATCGAGATCGGAGTGGCTACATCTTCTTTTATATGCACAAGTAAGAAGCGTTGCCCAGTCTGAAGTTGTTGGCTAAAAATCTCCTGAACTCTTTTCTTTTTCCTTTAAAGATAAATTGTGCCCATCAGTTAAATTGGTTGACAATTTATTATTTTTATTAGGGCTCATATCTTGATATTTCCAAAATGTTTTTTCTGTTAACTCAGCATTAGTTACTCATCTCACAGTAAAATGTAGATACAGAGCTTAAGACCTTATTATGATGGAAGCTGTCCTGTTATTGTCTTTCATTATATCAGCTAGAAGATCTGAGTTACATGGATGGGAAATACATAGCCTTTCTATCAAAGCTAGCTGTTGCCATTCCCCCTCTAATTATTTTCAAGAATCAACACATGGGGTTAAGATGATAATGAATGAGCTGCTTATTTAATACAATTTAGGCATCAAATGGGATAATGCAGGCTTTATCAATGTCTATTTTCTGTCCTTTTATTTGCTCACTGAATTTCCTGTTTAATTTTTTTTATTTTAAGGGAGATATTTGATGAGCTGCTGGAAACAGAAAAGAACTCTCAGGCACTTAACCTGGAAGTGGGGAAGACCACTCGCCAGGTTTCATGAGGAACAAACCCCTGGGTTGGCAGTGTGCACTGCGTATTCTCTCTTACTGCCACCCACTTCTCTTTCCTCTGCCTGAGAAGAATTTGCAACTCTACTTGATGCGGGAGCAACAAACAGCTCAGGGCCAAACCAAAAGACGAAAACTGCAATTATGCGGAACGCTCCATATTAATTGTTTTATGGAAACTGGTCTCACATCTGTAGCTGATTATCCGTTTTTTCCTCCTACAAGAATGGCACTTCCTTTTGTCTTAGGAATACATGTTGTAAATATATATATATATATGTACATACACATATTTGTGGAATGAATGGAGCCTTAAAAAGATAGAATAGGCCACCAGAGTATGCCTGCCCAAAATTAATAGCACAGCAGTTTGGAAAAGAAACGTTGTCAAAGAGTCCATTCACCTGAGAAATGTATGAAGATATGCATATCATTTGGCATTTAGCTTTTACGTTCCTTGAGTAATTTCACTCAAGTCTGTAATCTTTCATGTGTGTTTCTTTTTAGTAAAATTCACTGGAAAGCCAGCTCTCCATGTTACACTAATAACAGTTTGTCCATCTGGCAAAGGAGGGGCATTTCTGCCATCTGACTTGAGGAGCTTTTATTAAAAAAAAATATTTCCTGGATTTGTAATGCTTTTGCTGTTTACATGCAGTCCCAAGAAATGGATTTTTGGTGCTTTGGAATGTGCTGTGTTGCCACATTTGATATTCATTGTACACTTTGTGTTTTCTTTCAAAAGAATCCTTCACACAGTATGTTCATTGTATATCATTTATATTATTGTGGTGAAGATAGAATCTTTTGTTTTTCCTTCTGTGTCATTATTCCATGGAGCAAGCATTACCCTAACAGACTGAAGCAAAAACTTTAAGAGGTAGGAAAGTGATGTCCCAATTGGGACTCCCCAACAAGAATACGTAAGGAATATGAAAAATACTAGCATCTCTGTCTCCCAGACAGAGAGAGGTCAGGAGGAGTATTCTTGTGTTCAAGCTGAAACTCGACCACTAAAGCTGAAAGCCCTGCTGCAAAGGTGAAATTAAGCACGTGAGCTGTGGGAAAAGCTTAACCATTAATCATTTGCCTTGCTATTCAAACAGGGTGAGAATTAAAATGTGATAGGTTTAGGTGATTCCAAAAACTAACAAATAACAAAGGTGCGTAATAGATTTATTACTTTCTAGGTGCTTTGAGTTGAGGTCAAATGGGGGTGCAACATTTAAGTGAGTTATATCACTCAGCTGACATAACCTGCTTCGTTAAGCAGCTTGTGAAACCATATAAAGAATGAGTTTGAGAGTAGAATTCTCTGTTCCTAAAGTAATTTTGTGAGCCCAGGAATCATTAGGATCACACAGAGTAATGAAACCTTCAACATTTTCATTTTTAAGTCCATCATCACAGAAGATGTAACATCTTTTCTAGAAGATTGCCTTAAGAGAGCTCCAGCCCTACTCTTGAAACTTGGATATGTTCTGACACAGTAACCTGTTCTAAAATACTGAATCTTTCTATTGTAAGTGGCCCCAGCACTTTTGCTTAACTACTGATGAAAGCTTTGTCTCCTACCTTGTTTTACCTACCTGTTAATGTAGTGAATGTTCCAGAATGGTGTGGTGGTAGGATATGTAGGAACAGTATAGAGCAGGGGAAAATACTTGTTTAAAAAACTAGCTTTTAAAATTTTGTTTCCACTTGGGAGCCTTTTTTTTCCCCTTGGGAAAACAACTATTTTCTCATATATGAATGAAGTGATAATCAAATTCTTTAGCTATTTATTACTTCTCTGTGTCTATACTTGAGCGCTTTGAGTGAGGTGCTTTTAAAAATGATTGGGAATGATTTGACGTGAGTGCGTGCATTTAGGGCATTTAAACAAATAGAAGTGATGCTGTAAGCCCAGGTTGCCCGTGAAGTACCCTTGTTTGACTTGCTTTTTGTAGCTTGTGTGTGTGGTTTTGAAGTACACTTGGCTCAAACTTAATTTGATTTGCTCTTCATGTCTCGGGCAGGACTTACTAGATCAAACTAGGAGATGCGTTATCTCACTGCTCATATACTTGCATGTTTGGGACTTGAAGTTTCCTTGATATGTCTGTTGTTCTGGCCTGGTCAGCCTTCCTTTCTCCCTTCACTCCTTCAGCTATTACTCTTTTCACTACTAAGTTAATTTCTCATTTTGGTTCAGTGAAGGGTTAATGACTACAGATGGAAAGCTCAGCCAGACTATATTGATGGGGTTTGTTTTTTGTTTTTTTGAGCTGACTGTGTTTATCTTAAAATTACCGGTAGATTTATATTCTTTGTGCAGTTTGCTCAGAATCAGGAGATGGGGCACTTTACATGTTAGTGCCAGAAAGGGACAAAGTAGATAAGGACAGAGTGCTTCAGTTCCAGGCAGTTTGCACAATAACTAATATTCCTGTTGAAAATACCAAATACGGTTATGTTACTTTAAATGACTTTGAATTGAAACTTGACAGTACTTAATTTTACACACAGTTCATCTTAATTGGAATATTTTTGAAAGGGAAAATGAAACTAAAATTCAAACACTAATTCTTACCATCTAACATTACAAAGGATTGAAAAGTTGCATGTGGCCAGATGTTACTATCATTTTAGAAGTCCTAACTATAATTTAGGCCTACAGGAAGATAGATTCTGTTGTGTCGGGAATACGTATGTGTGCACAAACTGAAATTTTGTCTCAGCAGAATAGAATAAGAAACAAATCCATGAATTATTCTTCTATTTATATTTTGATTCAAAGAGCTACTTGTTTACTTGCCGTGGTCTGTGGTCTGTTAATTTCAGACCTAACTTAATGGCTCAATAACAAATGTAAATATGTTTACATTTTAAGAAGTATACAGTGATACTTAAAGATCAGTTCATTAACTCTAGGAGGTAAATACTAGATATTTCCTTATTTCTCTTCTTGATCAAGTGTAAAATTCTTCTAAAAGAAAAACTTGTAAGACCTCAGCAAGTGAATTCATGAATTTACTTATTCTTCCATACTGCAGTTACCATTATGTATCTATATAAATACAGCTCTACACATGTACAGCTGAATATATAGTTGTATAACGAAAACTATTTGGAAGCACCTAAATTAAAGAGATTCTTGTCAGTTTCTCACATGTAGTTGAGCATGAGGAGGGTACAGAGAGCATGGGGGTTGGAGACAGGCAAAGAAAAGGTACTTTGTAAACCCATTTGTGATCTACTGGAAAGAGATTATGCCAAGTAAAAATTACCCTTCTTCCTCTTTCTTCTGTGTCCTCTGGAGTGACTATAGTGGATGCTTAGTCAATACTTTTTGCCCTGTTTAAGTGATTCCCCTGAAGTGATCTTTCAAACCAGGGAAGCAGAGCTGGATCTCCAAGTGGATCTTGTATACACGGAGATTGTCAGAAAAGTCACCAGCAACCCAGTACTAGATGCAAGTCACATAAAAGTGTCCCCCCAAAACGTCTTTTTCTTTCTCCCCATCTTGCTTTACACCAAATAATGCTCTTTAAGTTGTGTACAAAAACTAAACAGATTTCCTCCCTCTAACATCTTTCTGATGTGTTACTTCAGAATTCTAATTTTGTCTCTATCAGTGTCTTATTAACATCTGAAAAAATATATATATATATTTTATTGGAAGACAATAGTTTGTTAGGCCTTGAGAATTTTGTGACAGGTTTCTTTTGCTGTGTCTCACCACGACCACTGACTCCTTTATGGCATGCTTTGATTACTAAACTTCAGACAGACTCTTTTGTTGTATCACATATATTTATACATAGTAAATGTTCCTTTCCCTGTGTGCTATGTATCTGAGGTTTTGAAGCTTAAAAAATGTGTCAGTATGGTTATAAGCAGTTGATTTCAGTCATTTGGACTTAAAAAGCGCAGAGGTTTGAAGTAGAGAGATGTCCACTGCTGTCTGAATAGAGTAGATGAGGATTTGGGTCAGGACTGGAGTTCACTGGGTCCAATGCCAAAACGAGCGATCATCTGAACTGGTCTGTCTCAAGAACAGAGGGGTGGAAGAGTGAGACACAGTGGCTGTACACACCTCTCGTCTTTAGGTTTACCCCCACTCTCTCTCCCTTCCATCTCCAACTTCTCTGGCCTATCTCAGTGTTGTTTATTTATGCTGCGGAGCGAACAGAAGTAAGCTTCTTCATCTTTCCCTAGTTGAGCCACTGCCAGGTTTGCTGGCAGCTTTGGCCACACTGTATGTGAGGTGATTTTCTTTATGTTCAGAGTGACTTTTGATTCTGATTCTTTGTTATTTTGTATGGAGCGGCACTTTATCTGTGTTTTAGCAGAACTGTTCCTCTGTACCCTTTACGGTTTTTTCTTGTTTTTTGTTTACCTTTTAAATTATGCATAGAGTTTTTTTGTGTGTGAAATTAAAGCCTTTATTAACCTTGTGTTCTACTGTTTATTTCTGAGAAGGACACATTCTTGCAGACACCTAACCAGTTGTTGAAGTTGTGAAAATCACATTCTGTTGGTCTTCTGACTTGGACTTTGAAGCAACACTGTTGCACCTTAAAGGGAGTGGGACACACACCTAGTATGGCTGAGTCAGCACCAACCTTTGCTGGATTTCATCTGAGGAACCTGTGAAGCTCTGCAGAGGTTCTGCATAACAGTTTTTAAACCCAACATTGGGCTAAACTGTGCTCTTCCTTTGCCTTACTATTAAGAGTATCAGAGAGAAGGTAAAATAGTGTATGCATTTCATACTTGCTGTTAGGCCCCTAGCCCAGGCCCAGTGGGTATGTGGCTCTCGGTTAGTGAGTGTTGTGGAACCTCCTAAATAGGGCCATCACCTGGACCGTTCAGCTCTTCCAAAGAAAAAGTCTCTTTAACTTATCACCTGAGGAAGGCTGTAAGAAAATACATGTGAAAAGGAAAAGCCATTACTCTGGGGAAGATGTAAAACTGAAAAATGCTTCAGCCCAACTGCCATAATTAAAGATGAGCCATGATAAAAGCCTAGGGGAGTCTCGCCATAACTTAAGGTTCCATGGAGTGCTGGGTTGCTCCTCTCAGAAGGGAAAGCACTAGAGCAGAATGCTTTGAAAGTGATGCAACACCTCTGGATAAAAACAATGCACCCAACTTCCTGAGAGCTGAAATTAGGACCACAGTCTCCTTATAGAGGAATCATATTTCTGGAGGAACAGGTAGGTTACTAAACAAGCGGCATCCCCACAGACTGCAGGTTTCCACTTCAATTGATTTACGTCACTGATAGCAGTAATAACAAAACGAAGCTCTGCAAGCAGGGTAGGGTACTGCTTTAAACTACAAGTTACTTTTGCTTCTCAAAACAGCCCTTTTTCTTTCTTGAGGTTTTGTTGCTTCCATCGAGGCAGAGCCGAGAAGGCAGAAGGAGTCATCCCCAAGGCCAGGGTGAAATCGTCAATGGACAGGTGCTCCTAGAAGAGGAGAGGGACCAGAGGGTCAGCTTCTTGCTTAGAGTTAGCTCTGATGAGTCACAGAGGTGTGACAGAAATCAGATGACAAGCAAAAAGAGGCAACGTAACGAGGGACAGGGAGAGGGGAGGTGGCATTTCTTTTCACTCTGGGGCTGTTCTCTGTAGGATTGCCCTCTAGAAAGTTTCTTTGACTCCTGCAGAGCCCTGAACATTGAACAGCTTCTTTATGGTTAACACCTGTAGGTGGAGTTCAAGCCCAGGTTGAACTGAACAGCTTCTTGGTAAACACCTTTAGATGGAGTTCAAACTCAGGTGGATCTGAAGCTCCGGTTTTCTAACCTGTTATCCTTTGCCTCCCACCTCTGGGCATTTTCTGCTCAAGGCTCCTGGAAGCCCTCCCCAATTCCCCAGGCAGGGTGGTGGAGCACTCTGTTTTGGAAGAAGGTCCCTGACAGCTATGGTTGTTGTGTCCACGGTCTGCAAATGCTTTAGCTGCTCTCTGTCCCACCCAAGCTGGCTCTGCAGCTTGGTTGAGACTTCTGGACTCTGACCCCCAGGCAAGATAGCAGGGACTGCCCATCCCAGTGGACTTGTATCTTTCCACTGGTCCTGTTCTTGAACCCTGCGGTCCTGCCAGCTGATTACTAGCCTCGCCCATGCCCACATCCGCCTCTCTGTGGTTTACTCATGGGTACTCAGATTGCCCTTCTTGCTACTGCCTGCAGCAAGACCCACCACCCCACTGTTCACTGTTCTGGCCCTCCCTTCTGAGTTTGGAGCAGCCAGAGCATGTGCACTCTCCCCACTTATCCTGGAACCCTCAGCTCTTCTATAAGAATGCACAGCTACTCCCACAATTTAATCATCAGTGACAACAAAATTTTTAAAAGAATCTAAGCCTTTTCAGACCGCTTCTACTGTGGTGGGGTTGTCTTGATTCTGTTTCTTATATTCAAAATTAGTGATCTATTTAGCTTTTTTTTTTTTAAGGCTAATGCATATTTTATTAGATATTGCAAAACTCCCCTCTACAGGTGTGGTAACATTATGCCCTCACAGCAAAATAATATATGTTGTTCCACAGCCTTACCAACAAAGTACATTATTTAGCCTCCTTTTAATCACCTGGTCCAATAATATTGGCTGCCCTTCCCTTTAGAAATACTTTGTGTGTTATGTGATATGACAGTAAGAGTGGAACTCAGAAAACCTGAATCTTGCTCTGACTTGGCTACTAACTGGGAAAGTCACTTCCCTGCTCTGCATCTGAGTTTTCTCAGGTGTAAAAAAAGCAACGACAATAACAGCTTACATGTACAGAACACTTCCTATGTACCAAGAGCTGGGGAAATAATATTTGTAATATTATTAAGAATAATATATGCTATTAGGATCATCCCAATATTACAGTGAAGACACAGGGAATGCATAAAGGGGTCTAAAGGTGACAAGAAGGATGCAAATGTTGTAGAAACAATACACTTATGTGTATATTGGGCCCAAACCCATAACAGATGTTCCTGGAGGAAATAGCCAACTCACATCTATAGGTTCCTTAATTCATCCCAAAGGCTTCTTTATGGTTTATTGTACACAGGGTAAATTTTCTCTCAATACCCTCTCAAGCTAGATTTGCAGTCTATTTTGGATCTTCATGAAGAGAGAATGAATATTAGACATGTGTTTTTTTTAAACATGCCCTTCTTGCCAAACTCTCTCCTCCAAGTGGTCCACACAGACAGCCCCTGCTCTACCTGAGGGACCCAGTGCTGACTAGTCTCCCTGGCACGCCTCTGAATTGCCTGCCTACCATACACGTAATGATACTTCAACCTGGATGTCTCCCCAGTGCCACTAAACTCATGATTGTCCCTGTCTAGAGCTGGGTCTGACCCAGGGTTTTTTTAATCTCAGAAAATGACACAATTACCCCCCTCTTATGACCTTTATTCAGTCATTACCAAGTGTTGCTGATTTAATCTAAATATTTCTCTAAACCATCTCCACCCATCCCCACCCATTCTTGGGCTTCTCAGATGGGGCTCGTGGTAGAGAACCTGCCTGCCAGTGCAGGAGGTATAAGAGACATGGGTTCGATCCCTGGGTTGAGAAGATCCCCTGGAGGAGGGCATGGTAACTCTCTCCAGTATTCTTGCCTGGAGAATCCCATGGACAGAGGAGCCTGACAGGCTGCAGTCCATAGGGTCACCAAGAGTCAGACAAGACTAAAGGAGATTTAGCAAGTCCATTCTTCACTGAGCAGCTAGAGTGGGCTTTGAAAAATGTACCTGACTGCCATTCCCTTGCTTCACCCATAATAGTTGCCCTTGACTTTTAGGATGGACACCACCCTCTGCAGCCCGACAAAGAAGTCCCAAGTGCCCCCTTCACCCAACAGCTGCCCCTCCCCAGCTCCACACACTCCCTGCTCTGGCCACCTTGCCCTTTCACCCAGGCTGTGTTTACATCCTACTTCTGGGCTTCCATGTATACTGTTCCCTTCTCCGAGAATATCCCACTCTGCCTGAATAATTCCCATTCATCTTTCAAGGAAAAATCTCTGACTAAATCAGGTTCTGACCCACCTCCCTTCGGCTGGGATCCACCCCCTCGGGAAGCTCCTCTGCAGTCTTGTTCACCAGCTGCTCCAGGGGAAAGATGGGTAGAGGTCCGGAACTGAGGTTGCTGTTAGCATTGAACACATCTGGTTTAGAGCTTGTGAGCTCCTAGGGAAAAAACAGAAAACATTGTCACTTCAGCGGGTTTGTGGCTGCCTCCCAGGCTGCATTTTTCTCTGAAGTCAACAATGACCCTAGGGGACCTTCTAGAAGCCCTCAGTGGAGTTCCTTGCAGTCCAGGAGTGAGGACCCAGCACTTTCGCTGCTGAGGGCCCACATTCAATCCCTGGTCAGGGAACTATGATCCCTCAAGCTGCGCAGTGTGACCAAAAAAATATAAGCCTTCCATGACCCCTGCCTCCCACTGTCCACATACATATACACACACTCTTCATAAGAACATGGCATACTGACAGGATCCACAAGCTAAAGCTTGGCAGTCTATATTCAACCAAAGCTGGTTGGCTGTATGACCAGCTTTGGAAAACACATAAACAAAACTGTTCTGTTCTATGACTTATAAACTTCTCCATGGCTACCCCTAATGTTCCAGGTCTACCTTGGACATTTATGACCTTCTTTTAGCTGATATGAAACTGTCAACCATAAATTCTCTTATCCTTGACCTACCTACCCACACTTTCCCGCATGCTCCATCAGTCAACCAAGAAGGATTAATTGAGTGCCATGGGGTTCCCAGGCTGTGGGTGGGCCCGAGGGATTCACATGTTATCTGCTGATAACCCCGGTGTGCTTGGGAAATTGCTCTCATGTACTGGCCACAATTCTGCACAGTCTACTTGGTCTTATCTCCCCTGCAAGCCTGTGAACATCTTTGATTTCATATTCCCACATTCTAAGCCTGTAGGCTGAACATATTTCTATGAACTAACTGAAAGATAGAAGGAGAAGGTTTTTCTACCTGGAGAACAGTGATGATAGTAGAGAAATCATTACTTCTCCAAGCGTGGTCTGAGGACTAACTAGATCAAATTACCTGGGCCCTTTGTGAAAAACACACATTAACGGGTCTCAACCCAATTCTCCAAACCAGAATTTCAGGAAATGGGACTTTGGGATTTCCTTCTTTGTGGATGAGGGGCACAGAGCTTGTGGGATCTTAGTTCCCTGACCAGGGATTGAACCTGTACCTCCTGCAGTGGAAGCACAGAGTCCTAACCACTGTACCACCAGGGAAGTCCCAGAATCTTCATTTCAATAAGCTTCCCCCACCCCCAAGTTCCCCATCACCCAGACTCTTACACATGATAAAATTTGGGGACCATTTCACTAGGGAATGGAGGAGACAAATCTGCGCAAGACATTGAAGTTAAACCACAAGAAGAACTTCCAGGAGAAGAAGGA